TCCCTACTTCATCTGTAGTGGTTTTAGAACATTCTATTTCTATTGCTTCTTTCATGACTCATGGCTGCACTGATCAAAGAAAGCCAGAGGAAAAAAGTAGAGGTTTCTACCTAAAACCTTTCTTCTGGTCTTCCCATTTTTATTACTTTCTAATCCCTGTTCTTTCTTTTGCTGTCTTTTTTTTTTTTTTAGGAAGATTAGCCCTGAGCTAACATCTGCTGCCAGTCCTCCTCTTTTTGCTGAGGAAGACTGGCCCTGAGCTAACATCCGTGCCCATCTTCCTCTACTTTATATGTGGGACGCCTATCACAGCATGGCTTGCCAAGCAGTGCCATGTCTGTACCCGGGATCCGAACTGGCGAACCCTGGGCCTCTAAACTGGAATGTGTGCACTTAACCGCTGCACCACTGGGCCAGCCCCTCTTTTTCTGTCTTGATAATTCACTTCAGAAATGATTTTTTAGAAAATCTCTCAGTAGTTAGGACATTCCCCACCCCTCCTTTGGCCATTGCTTTTCCTCAAATTAATTATTAGCATGTTCTTTTGTGTTTTGTTGTCATTTTGATCTTTTGGTAGCCTGCCTAAAATGAACTTTGTAATGTAAATTCCACTTCCAATGCTAGAAATGGCATGATTCAATTGTATTATGATAAATTGACCTCCTGAATGTTGGCAGATGAGCTTCGGTCCTCATTTTCGTGATCTTATTTCCAGCCGGCTTGAGAGGGACCAGTAACTCCCACCCTTTATACAAACAAAGACTTCATTATCTTTCCACCCCTTCCCACGATTCCATGAGTTGGAAGATTTTTTTTCTTAAGGAAGATTTGTCCTGTGATAACATCCATTGCCAATCCTCCTCTTGTTTTACTTGAGGAAGATTAGCCCTGAGCTAACATCTCTGCCAGTCTTCCTCTACTTTGTATGTGAGATGCTGCCACAACATGACTGGTGAGTGATTCAGGTCTGCGTTTGGGATCCAAACCTGCAGACACGGGCTTCCAAAGCGGAGCATGTGGAACTAATTGCTCGGTCATGGGCTCAGCTCCTGGAAGATTTTTTTAACCAAAGGAATTGTATTTGTTAAGTGATATTTTCTTTTTCCATTTTTATTAACGAAGGCCCTGTAGCTGGGTCTGAAATCAAAATATATGCTTCAGATAGTAGTATCAACATTAAGTTTGATTTTTCAGATGGTTGATGTTTTTTAACCTCTGTACCTTTAATATGAATCCAATTTCATTAACATTTTTTAAAAATGAAAATAATCTCAACTCCCTGTTCCATGCTCTTTCTCTCACCTTCTCCTCCCATCGCCTCCATTACATACTTGGTGGGTCCGTTGTAGTCATAGGATTTCACGCTGAGGCTGTGATCTACATCTTGGGAGTTTGTAGTTTTATTAGCAAGGTTTTTCTTTTGTTTTTTTTTTTTAAAGGAAGATTAGCCCTGAGCTAACATCTGCCGCCAATCCTCCTCTTTTTGCTGAGGAAGACTAGCCCTGAGCTAACATCTCTGCCTATCTTCCCCTACTTTATATGTGGGACGCCTACCACAGCATGGCTTGATGAGCAGTGCGTAGGTCTGCGCTCTGGATCCCAACCGGTGGACCCTGGGCTGCTGAAGCGCAGTGCGCGAACTTAACCGCTGTGCCAGGGGGCCAGCCACAGCAAGTTTTTTTTTAATGAAAGATAATTAAAAATATTCACTAAAATGAATTTTTCAGTACCACCTCCCTTTCTCATTTGTAGGGGAATGTAATAGGTTATTCTTTTTGTTGCCATTTTTAGTCCTCTAATACCAGATGTCTAGTTCTGGAGACCCAAGCTCCTGAATCATCACCGTTTTTTACCCTAATTACCAAAAGGCCTTCTCTGTTCCTCTCTCCTCATCTCTCTTAATTTTTCTTTTCTGTGTTGGCCTTGTGTCTTCTTCAACTTACCTACTTTCTGTTTCTGTTACCTGTTGTCTGTTTCTCACAGTGAATTGGGAGCCCTGTAAGGGCAAGGGTGTCTCACATTCATCTCTGTGTTCACTGTGCCTACAGCAGTGCCTGGCACAGACGAGCAAGAGCCGGGCAGCCCCCTTAGGAATGCTTTCTGTGTGCTGGGCTCTGTCTTGAATACTTAGCATGGATTCTGTTTTAATCCTTTTAATGCCCATGGCAGCTTCAAGAGGAAGTACGTTACTGTTCCTCTTTGCTTTTTAAAGATGGGGAGCATATTTTTAAATAACTTGGTTAAAGTCATACCACTTTGTGTTTGTTTGCTGACTGTTTTTACCTCTTTTCTTTGGCCCTTAGGATGAAAAGATAAAATGATTCAAGGACAAAGAGTAGAGTAAGAAAAATAAAAAATCAGGAAAATAAGTAAATGGAATAAATGGCTCCTTGAATAATCATGTGGTCTCAGTGGATGGTCATTTGCCCTTTCTAAAACCTTGCCTCTTAGTTACACTGCTGTTCTTCTCTAGTTTAAATGCCTCAGATTATGTTATTTATCTTTGCAAACTACTTGGTGTAGAATTGCATTTCTAAGATTGTCCAATTTTAATCATTTCTATGTTCAGAAATTATTTGAGCCCTAACTGGAAAGAGTGTGTGTGTGTGTGTGTGTGTGTATTTATGTTGTTTTTCTTTTTTTACTCTAATCATGCATCACTTCCTAACAAGCAGGGTGTGTTAGTTTGCTTGGGCAAATGATCCTGAAGAGAACATTTCCAAATAATTGGACTTCCTTGTTGCTGTCGAGGTTAATATTTAACAGAAAAGGAAAGTTTTCTTTAACCAAATAAGACTTTAGGATGATTATTGATATTTATATTATTTATTATATTTTTAAAACATCAGTTTTGTATAATTGCACCATCAGATACCATCTCCAGTTTTGCATAGAGAAAAGGTAAAAAACGAAATGAGTTTATCCACCAAGTATGAGATGGTAGAAGAAATAATGTAACCAAACTCATTTTATGAAAATTGATTTTGTAGGATTTATATGGAAAGATATGAATTTATTGTATCTCAACTACATATATATTAATGGTTGGGTTTGCTTATAGCAGTAGCATTAGATGTTGTCAATATTTTAACAACAGAATTAAGTTTTTATTTTAAATACCCTGATTTTTGTGTTTATGCATTTTTATCGTAAGCCATTTAAAATCCCCCCTTCTTTTGGGAGGAGATAACCAAGTGTATATTATACACAAAAACTTGGTGAATTTCCCTTCTTCCGTAATGAACATCAGTGAAAAGGTGGGTTTACTTTATGATTAATTTCTAGGTTTTGTAAAACGAGGGACACATGCATTAAAGCGAGAATAATTGTAATTGCCCCTTGTTCCGGGGGTGGCTTGAGAGTTGGGGCAAGTGACCAAAAATAGAGGTTCTACTTGTACAAAGAGGGTTTAAGTTTAACATCAACTATATAAATTTCCTTTAAAAATTATGATCAAGTGCTATTAGAATTAGGGTTATAAATTCTTCTCACTGGGTATTTAAAGAAAATGTGCAGCTAGCCACCATTACTCAGATTGTTTGAATCTGAATGGGGATGGCCCTCTGGATCCCAAGATCAAAGTAAAGAAATGTGGGTCAGTGAATGGAGCCCTCAGCCAGCTCGCTGTCCTGGGGCAGTAGGTCAGATAATTAATTCATGCATCCAACAAGGAATGCCAGGCATAGCTCTTAGGGACATTGTAGAGCCAAGGGTTTGGACTGAATGATCCTTAGGTCCCTTTCATTCTCATTTATATAAATGTTTTAATTTTAGTAGATTTTTCCATCTGCTTCATTAATTTCCATGGAACATCCTTAGTAAACTTATTATACATATCAAAAAATCACAGTGTGTGTAACTTTTGAGTATACCGCCTCTTTGTTTAGTTTGGACCAAGGAAAAGATATTTCATTAACAAGTTGTAATTCTCTTGAAGAATATCATAGAACCTACATCATTTTGGATGTTGAAGCTTAAATGAAAACAGCAAGTGAGTGTTAACAGATGTGGTGGCAAAGGCCGCATGGCCTGCCCCTGCATTCTCTTCTAAGCCTTTTGTAGTCTAGAAAAGCTTCTTGAATTGATCTCTTGTTTTTTGAATGTTTATGTACTAATCATGTCTGTAGTTTCTGAAATGAATGAATGGTTTGTGATGTCCTTCCTAAATGGATTCATCGGTTCATCATCATCTAGTGCTAGCGTTGGGAGAATCCTCAATGTCAACTAGTCTAGCCTTAAAATCAGTACAGGAATGCCATATGCAGAATATTAGACAGATGATTGCCCACCCTTTACTGGAATATTTACAGTGATGGGAAACTTACTATCTTTTCCAGTGTTTTAACGGCTTTATTAGGTAGTTCTTACTGTTTTTAAGTCAAAGTATGCCTCCTGGTTACTTATACCTTTGGTCTTATTCTATCCTTTGAAGTGATATATTATCAGTCTTTTTCCTCATTGACAGTCCAGGAATATTTCTCTCATCTCTAAGCTTTAATTTTCTTATCTATAAAATGATCATGAGTTACATGATCTGGTTATCTCACCAGGATTGAGGTAAAGAACAACTGAGATAATTATGACCTTAGGCAAAATCCTTTTCATGTCTCAGATCATTAATATCTTAGTTTTATCTCTGCTGTATAATGTAATGAGAAGACCAATGTGTGTCCATTGGTTTGGGAACCTTGATACATACTTTCCAGTTGATATTCTTACTGTTAACAGCTGAATTACTTTATTTCTTCATTGAACATTTATTGATCATTCACTGCCTGGCACTTGCTTGGGTCTTAAGTGAAGATAAAAACAGTGAACAAGGCAGGTACCTTCTTTGCCTTATTGGGGCTTAAGTTTTCTTCCCTAAATCTTTTTACTTTGAGATATAAATGCTTTTGATTTTTTACAATAAAATAATATTGTTAATCTACTTTTACTCCTCTTAGTGTTTTTGGTTTTCTAACTAGCCCATTATTTAACAGAATGTCTTTGATTTGCAGATATATGGAGTCTGGGAGTGATCCTTTTCATGTTGGTGTGTGGACAGCCACCCTTTCAAGAGGCCAATGACAGTGAAACATTGACAATGATCATGGATTGCAAATATACAGTACCATCGCATGTGTCTAAAGAGTGTAAAGAGTAAGTAAAAAAAAAAAAAAATTGTGTGGGTTCATTTTAATATTTGAACTTAATGTTTCTGCTCTTAAGTGTGTGGGTGTGCAGTTAACCCCAGAATATGATTTGAAATTTAATATTCAAATACAGAATGTATTAGCCTATTTCTTAAATATGGCAGTTTTTAAGAAGCCCATTATATGCCTCTTCAGCCACCAGGAGCGGTGGTTACGTTCACTTGAAAGGAAGACATTACCATGAGAACTACTTTTCTCTTTTTTGCATCAGCAAAAAGGAAGATCACCTGGAATTATTCTAAGTTCCAGAGAAGAGTTAGGACATTTTTATTCCTAAAATAGACCATCAACATACCATTTTAGGATTTACACAGTATGTCTCATAATTTTATTCACATAGTTGAATAAGAGCTCTGTTTTGGTTTATGTGACTCTGGGAAGCCAGCAACCAAAAGTAAACTCAAATTGTTTAGAATTTAAAGCACTGTATAGTACATAGTAGTGAGTAGTGAGTATGTATGTATAATGAGACATACTGTAATGGAATAAAAGAACTGTTGGAAGTTCAGTATTTCATTGACGTTATGGGTGATAGTTTTAAATAAGCTCAACTGAGATTATAGCTACTGCTTAAAGAATTTTGCTTTAACAACAGTTTTGAGTTTCTCCTGTCAGCTGGTAAGGAGGAAATTTGATAGCTTGAGGAATTTTTTCTCCAGTTGGATCCCATCTTAAGCCATGTGGTAGATGGTTAAGAACTTAGGTATTCAAACTCTCTGGAATCAAATATTGGTTTTTCTGTTTACTAATGATGTGAGAATGGTGGAACCAACCTTACAGGGTAATTGTGAAAACTAAGTGCATTCATGTATATCACGCTCTTCGCTCAGTCCTTAGCACATAGGAAGCACGTGATGTGACTATTGACGATGATCTTTATGCCCTTACTGTTATTACTCTCTACCCCAGGCAGCAGGGCGGCTGTCTGTGGGTATACATCGTGTGCATGTTGGATGTTTGTAATTCAAGGAGTATCTCCACAACCCCTGCTGAAAAACTACAACAGATTAACTTATTTTTGTATTGACATGTATCATTCAAAAGGATGTATAAAATGTGCATGTAATAAAACTAACACCTTTGTACTAATTTTCCAGCTTACGAAATAGAACAGTTCTAATATCTTAGAAGGCTCCTCTGCGTCTCCCTCCTAAGGGAGGATCTTTCATAATCATAGGACCATTCTGTGTTTTACTTTTTCCTGTGTCAATTTTGCTAAGTTGTGTTTTTTAAGGAACTTACCCATTTTATCTAAATTTTCAAATTTATTAGCCTCAAATATTTATAATGTCCTCTAATTCTGTTTTTAAAGTTTATAGAACAGTCGGGAAGTTGCTCTTTTTCATTTCAATATTGACAGTTTTTACCTTCTCTTATTTTTATCTTGATGAGGCTTGCTTGAGGTTTGTTCATTTTAATCGTCTTTTTCAAACTACCTTTTGTCTTTATTAATTTACTATTGTATTTTTTGCTTTATATTATTAATATTCTTTTCTCTTGTCTGTATTATTTCCTTCTACCTACTTAATGGGCTAACTTCTTTTGTTATTTTTCTTCTTTATGTTGGATACCCGGCTCATAAATTTCCTTCCTAGTGTAATAATTAAGGCTATAAATTGCCTCCTAGTACCATTTCAGCTGCATCCCACTGGTTTTGATTTGTACTCCCTTTGTTGTTATTTAGTTCTGAGTATTTTCTAGTTTTCAGTGGTTTACTTGACCCATGAGTTTTTAGAGGGTATTTTAAATTTCCAAATGTATAGTTTTTCCAGTTAGTTTTTTGTTTTTCATTTCTGACTTAATTGCATTGTGATCCAAGAATATAGCCTATATTTGTACTAGTTTGTTAAGGCTTCCTTATGGCCTACATGGAGTCAGTTTTTGTAAATAATCCTTTTGTTCTGGAAAAGAATATACATTGTTTAATTGTTGGGGTCAGAGTTCTATATAAATCCTTAAGATCAAGCTTGTTAATTATGTTGTTCAAAATTACTTACAAGCTGTCTGAGTTTTTGACTGCTTGATCCATCACTGAGATATTCTTCCACTGTGATGGTGGATTTCTTGTTTTATTCTTGGAGGTCTGTCAGTTTTTGCTTTGCATGTTTGAGGCAATATTATTAAGTACAAAAAAGTTGAAAACTATTGTATCTTTCTGGTGAATTGAACCTTTGTATCACTGTTTATCTCTAATAATGGTTTTTACCTTAAAGTCAATCTGTGTTACATAGTTTTAGTTAATAACCACACCAGTCTTCCTTTGCTTAGCACTCATGTGCTATATAGTTTTCCATTCTTTTACTTTAAACCTTTCATCATCTTGGTTTTCAGTGCATCTTTTTTAATAGCTGGAAGCTGGGTTTTTTCACTCCCATCTGAGCATTTTTGTCTTATTTGAAGAGTTTATTTCATTTATATTTGTTGTGTGAACTGATAGTTGTAGATGTATTTTTGCCATCCTTTCACGTGCTTTATATTTGTTCTACTTTTTCATTTTTTTAAAAATCCAGTCCTTTGGGATTGGAGGAGGTTTTTCTTTTTCCCCTTATTTGACTTTTCCTCTTAACTAGCTTGGAGATTACAGTCAGTTATTTTAGTGATTTCTACGTCTATTTTAAAACACACATGCATGTTTGTTTAATTTAATAAAATCTATAGTTAATCCTTATCTTTATTCTCTTCCCAGACAACACAAAATCCTTAAAACACTTTACCATTTAATACTTTAGTAATCTTTTTTTAAACTCAATAAATTAGACAATATTATCATTCTTTATAGTAAAAATTATTTAAAATTACCCAGATGTTTGATAAGAACTTTGTTTATCCTTCTAGTTGGGATCACATTCTTCTGCCAAAATTACATCCTTTAGAATTTCTTTTGATGAGCATCTGTTGGTGTTCAACTTTCTCAGTTTTTATTTGAAAATGTCTGTATGTCACATGTGCTCTTGAAAGATAGTTTCATTGAGTATAGATTTCTAGGTTGACAGTTATTTTCCCTCAGGTCATTGCAGATCTTATTCCACTATCTTCTGACATCTCTTGTTCTTGAGAAGTCTGCTGTCCATCTTTGTTCTTACATAGGTGATCTGTCTTTGCTCTCAGGCTGCTTTAAGAGCTTCTATTTATTCTGCTTAGTATATGTTAGGCTTCCTGGTTCAGAATTTGTATTCTTCAATGAGTTTGGAAAATTCTCAGCCATTGTCTTTTTTTTTTTGAGGTAAGACTGGCCCTGAGCTAACATCTGTGCCTGTCTTCCTCTACTTTATATGTGGGATACCTGCTACAGTGCAGCTTGACAAGCAGTGTGTAGGTCTGCACCTGAGATCTGAACTGGCGAACCCAGGGTCACCAAAGCAGAGTGAGCAAACTTAACTGCTGCACCACTGGGCCGGCCCCTCAGCCATTATCTCTTCAAATACAGTTTCTTCCCCATTTTCTCATTCCCTTCTGGAACTCTAATTAGATGTATGCTAGGTTTTTTCACTCTGTCCTCCTTGTTTTTTAACCTCTTTCATATTTTCTATCTCTTAGTCCACCAAGAGAGACTCTTTAAGAGATTCATTAGGGGCTGGCCCAGTGGCACAGTGATTAAGTTCACGTGTTCTGCTTCGGCCGCCCAGGGTTCACAGGTTTGGATCCCAGGTGCAGATCTACACACTGCTTGCAAAGCCATGCTGTGGCAGGCATCCCACATATGAAATAGAGGAAGATGGGCACAGACGTTAGCTCAGGGCCAGTCTTCCTCAGCAAAAAGAGGAGGATTGGCAGCAGGTGTTAGCTCAGGGCTAATCTTCCTCAAAAATAAATAAATAAATAAAAATAAATAGATTCATTAAATCTCTTTATGTTTAATTTTTAAAATTTTTCCATTGATTTTTTTTTTTACTTACAATTATTATTTTTCACTATTAGAAGCCCCATTTATGGTCTTTTGTTCCGCAGATGTTATTTTCAAACTGCTTCGTCATGTCTTAAACATATTTAAGAGTTAGATTTTGTGTCTCAAAATTTCAATATTTTGAAGTCTTTACATTCTGATTTTGCTGTTGTGTTTTTCAGTTCTTGCTAATGGTACCTTGTTTGCTTTGTTTTTCTTGACTGTGAGGTCATATTCCTTGTACTATTATGTGGGGAGTTCTTTTAACTTACATTCCTACAGAAAGGGACTGCATTTACTTCTCTACCAGTTCCCCAGGAGTACACCAGCCTGAAACCACTTTAAATTAACTTCCTCACTGTGTGGCACACAGATATCATTAATTTGGACCACAAACTTGTGTGAGGACCAGCTTGTAGTCAGAAGTTCTTTGAAGAAATTCCCTGCCCTGCCTCTGCAGCCAGTGTTGAGGGGGGCAAGTTTCCTTCTTGACATGTTAGCGGTAGATTTGTTTCTTGTTGCTCATTCGCCCTCCCACTGGAGCTGGGGTCCCAGCTGTTCGCAAGGGCTCTAGTTATGCTCCCTACCTTCAGTAGGCCCTACTCATTCTGTTCTGTTCATGCACTCAGTGTAGCCTTCAGGACTGAAGCAGAAACTTCCAGCTTTGTCCTTGGCCTCCTCAGTCCTGCTTTTACTCCGTTTTTACCTGCTGAGTATTCTTTCCTTCTTTCTTCCTTTCTTTCTTTATTATTTTGCCAATACAATGCATTTAGACAAAAGATATGTCTAAAAAGATAGGGCATTTTGGTTGTTTTCATCAGGGGGGCCATTCATTCTTCCTGAAACAGAAGCAGCTCATGTATTCTCTTCCGTATGTCAGTGCTGATCATTGTGTCTGCTTCTGGTGTGCTACTAAGCCACAGTTAGTTCAGGGACAGATGTTGATAAGTAGACTTAATTCCAGATGATAGCAGGCTGTATTTGTGTGTTTGGCTTATCAGTATATCTGGTGGTTTTAATTTTTGTTCTATGAATCTGATGGCACTAAATTTTCTTTATTCCATCTGCCCCATCACTGCTACTAGTGGACCCAATGAAATTGATGGTATAAATGTAGGAAACAATTTTGATTAATAAAATAATCCACCATTACTAATCCCTGCCAGCAGTTTACTTTAACAATTGACTTAACTTCTTTTCCAGCTTGATCACACGGATGCTACAGAGAGATCCCAAGAGAAGGGCCTCTTTAGAAGAGATTGAAAACCATCCTTGGCTTCAGGGAGTGGACCCTTCACCAGCCACAAAGTATAACATCCCCCTTGTGTCATACAAAAACCTCTCGGAAGAGGAGCACAACAGCATCATTCAGCGCATGGTGCTTGGAGACATAGCGGATCGAGACGCCATCGTAGAGTATGTCAGCCTCATCAGTACAGGGGCCATGGGTTTGGAATTCTTGGAATGGGCTTTCTTCTTAATTTGTCAGGGCCTGTGGATGCTTTGTAATGGATAGAGTTCCCGATTGGCAGGGGTTCTGTCATTTGTCTGTAGAGTTCTTGGCCCAGTGCCTGGCTCCTAGGTTTTGTTGGTTTTTTGTTTTCATTTTTGTACTAGTGAACAAGTAAACCATTTCTGTGTGGTGTCAGTCAGTCCTGTGGCCTTTCTGCCTCCTTACAGGGGTGCGTTGGAATAGCCTGTTTTGTATCCCAGTACATGCCTTGTCCATAGCTGTGTCCTCTTCATTCCTCTGTCTCCCTCTGGTTCCCACAGGGAGCAGGGAGAATGGGGCAGTACCACAAGTCCTCTGAATCAAGGGTTGGCATGTGGCCAGTCACATTTTTGTAAGTCAAGTTTTAGTGGACCGCAGCCATGCCCACGTGTTCACATATTGTCCATGGCTGCATTAGGCTATAGTATCAGAGGAGTTGTGAGAGAGACCACATGGCCCACAAAGCCTCAAATATCTACTCTCTGGTCCTTTAGAGCCCTTCCTGCAGCAACCTGGAACCCACAAGATACACAAGTTGTTAATCAAGTCCTTTTAAACCAAAGCCAGCTTTTAATAACCTAAGAAGTTTGGAATCGCAGATAAAACAAAGATGAAATTGCTTTAACAATGATTCATTTCTGTAAGAGGTCCTGTCTGTAAAAATATGAAGCATTTCCACAAATGAAAAGTCTGAAGTTATTTAACCTGTTGAGTGAAACAGCTGGGCGTGATGGAGGGAGGATGTACTCTGGTGGACAGAAAAGGGCTTCCCAGCTGGGGCCACTCTGCACGCTGAGTGGTCTGACCCAGTTGCCCGACCTTGGGGAAGGGGTGGCTGCAGGCTGGACTTAGAGACTTCTGCAGCAGGTCAGGCTGTCACATGTGACACCCTGAGGGTTGGACCAGAAGGGCAGTGTCCTAAGAAAGGACCTATATCTTGAGGGTGTTTTTAGTACACTGGGAAAAAAGATTTACAAAAATAAATCCAGGTTTATAATTTTGGGTTAAGTAGAAATTGCTACAGGTTTCTAAGAGCATTATGAGTTTTCACAGATTGACCCACAGCTGCTTAAATGACCTAAACGAAGAGAGAAGAGCAGGACACTTGCTCTGCCTACCAAGACACTCACTTTAGCAATGCGTAGAAAATGATTTTTCGTTTTTGAGTGGAGAAAAGGCTATTTGTATCTCCCTGAATTGGCTTAATGTTCTTAGCTTAAATAAATAAATACAAGCAGCTGTGTCATTTAGAACTATTTTAATTCATGTCAGCTCAGTTATAAATACAAAAGGAGGGGCGGTTTAAGTGGTGCCGGTGGTTCCCTGTGCCCATCCGTCTGCGAGCACGTGCCCCGAGTGCAGCAGGGCTGGGAGGCCTGAGTTTGCTGTCCTCCCAGCTCATCTCAGGTCTTGCCTGCTGCTCACATGATGAGCAGCTCCTCGTTCTGAGGGTGCTTCCTGAGTTCAGAGACATGTTTGGTGGTCCCCTGAACACAAGCCAGTGGCTTTTTCCAGTACTCAGCTGGAGACACCACTCCAGGAAGTCTTTCTGACCCCTGCACTTCACCTCGGGTCTTACTTTGGAATCTCTGGCCTCAGCCCACCCTGCCCCTGTTAGCTGTGGCCCCACCGTACATTTTGTGAAAAGTGATGCCTCTATTGCTTCTTTCCAGCATGTTCCTTGTGTATTTTCACTAACCATAGAAAGTTCCTGAAAAGCATAATTACGTATGCCTTGTGGATCCTCTGTAGCACTCTCGTGCCATGTCCTGGGACAGGCCAGCTGCAGGGGAGCAGGCAGGGCTGTGCCCTGTGGGTGTCATGCCCCTAGCCCCTCTCCAGCACTGTGCCCAGCCAGGCTAAGTACTCAGCATTACTTTTGAAATGGATGAATGAATATGTAGATTTTATTCAAAGAAAGGCCAGTGACGTATTCTCAGTTACATTAGTAATTCATTAATGTCTAAAATCCCAGTAAAAACTGTAAAAATAAAAACTTTTTCTAATTTTTCTGATCGATACCAGTGTTTCAATGCACATTCATGGAACTCACTGCATACTTCTAATGGAAGCAAGTAAGCCAGCTTAATGAAAACAAACACTTTGACACAGATTAAATTTTGGATAATGTGTGCACTCTCGGAAGCTTCATTATCTTGTGCATCTAAAACTGACATTCAGCTCAGCCACTGTTAGCATTTTGGATTTTTCTTACTAATTGAACATTTTTATGCAGTTTTTTTAAATTTCAAGAGTGATCTAAATAACTACTTTTTTCCCCTTGTTTTTGTATGTTTCATAATTTTAAAGATTCCAGGTCATTGGATTTCATTTGCTTGTAGTTAAGAAAAAAATCAGTTCTGCTTGTAAAAAACAAACCTGCTAATGTGGCTTATATCCACTCTCCCTTCTTTTCCTCAGAGCCCTGGAAACCAACAGGTATAACCACATCACAGCCACGTACTTCTTGCTTGCTGAAAGGATCCTGAGGGAAAAGCAAGAGAAGGAAATACAAACCAGATCTGCAAGCCCTAGCAATATCAAGGCCCAGTTTAGGTGAGAAAAAAATCTTCACTGATTTTAGTAAGTTAACATTTTGAAATAGTGAATTTTTTTAATGCTTTCTTACTCTGTGGGGCGAGAGTATGAACAGTGATGACAGCCTCATTAGAGGCCACGCAGGGGCTCTCCGTGTGTGTGGGGTCTTGGTTCCTTTGTTACCAAAGACGCCTTCCTTGCCTGGGCTCGGCGGGGAGGGGCTGCGGCTGCTGGCCGAAAACACGTTTGGAGAAGCAGCCTCAAGCCGGAGTGTCTGTCAACTGTTTTCATTAAACTCTTCCAGATCTGACAGTATAAATGTGTTACTTTCTTTAATTTTTCATTCCAGGAACAAGGCTGAATTTTCCCTCAGTTATTTGAAATAATTTTTAAAAACATATAGGACATTTCTGTGCCACAATCTTATCTCAGGATTTCAGAGACTTGACAGATCGGCTAGTTGATTTATTAGCTGCTTGACCTTGGGAGGTCACTTAACCTCTCTTATGACTCAGCTTCCTGATCATTGAAATGGGAGTAGTAATACTCTTTACCTCCTGGAGTTGTGGTCAGGGATAACTGAATTCCTATGTGTAAATTTCTTTGACCTGGGCTCCTGAGTTTGCTGTCATTGTGAATATCGCACCACCATTCGGTCTTTGGTAAATAGTGAGTGTGCTTGCCCCTCCTCTTTTTTCCCCTCCCCTCCCCACCCCTTCCTGCACGTTCCCTCTCCCTCCCCACCCTCTAACTTCTCCACTTTTCTTTGTCTTCTGCTGTATTACCTTTCCATTTAAAATCAAAGCATGGGAAGGGTTACTTTTTTCTGTCGTCATTATGAAATTTATTTAGAATTTATCTTTGTTCAGATAAAGTAATCCATGGAATTGTAGTGATTCAAAAACAGAAGGATGCTCCTGATTCTGAATAATTCTCTGCTTGTACATCCAACTATATATGAATATATGTGTGTAAATATGTAATAATAATAATATTATTATTTAAAAGTGTAAGAAAACCATCCAATTTTAAATCACTAGCAGTCAGCCTGCCATGTGTAGTTTGTTGCTTTGGGTGGAGCGACAGAGAAGAGAGAAGAAAACATTCCCCGGTGACCACAGACTAAAGATGTAGAAATCTAGTTTAACTGGAAAATGAATTCAGTCACTTCATTTATACCCTGGATGTCCTCTTCTCTAATGAAAACCAGGCACTGTGTCTGGTGTCTACTTGGAAGAGGACTGGGCCCTGGGCAGCGAGGGGACTCCTAAGCATGAGACAGACCGGGAGAGTGACACTGAGGTTCAGGTCAGCCTGGGCCTGACCCCAGCCCCTGCACGGGACAGAGCAGCTCCGGGCAGAGTCCCTGCGCGCCACCTCAGCCTTTTGGAGAAGCGAATAGTTGGATTCGAACTGCTTTCTGTTCAGTGAAACAGATTAGAACTCAATCCACAGTTGATCAAATACGTAACTGAGTTAAATTGGTTTTACTTTGTTATGATTATTACAGAGCCAACAGTGGCTATAAGGAAGTAACACAGCCTTCCGCACAGTTTTCTTTTAACCCTCCCTGGGATTCTGGAGTGGAGATGCTGTGAGGGCCCCTCCTCCTCTTGGGGCCCAGGGTCCACGGGCAGGTTGTGGGTGTCTGCTTAGTTGCCTTCTCTGTATTTTCACTCTGCCTTTGTTGTCAAAACCATGGACCTAACTTGTTTTTGACCTAACCTAACCATGGCCCTAACTTAGTGGGTAGGCCTTGGGGCCAGATGACCTGGGATGTAGAAACCTCGACTGAGTCAGAAGACCGGTGTTTAAGCCGGCATATAGGGAGTTGGGGGTGGGGAGGTAGAGGCAGGCCATCAAGCCAGGCAGAGCCAGCTGGAGAGAGTGGCTGCATTCTTTGGGCCCTGCTGGTGTGGGGTGGAAACATGGTGTGGTCTGTTAGAACAGGCCTTGTGAAGTCCTCAAGGGAGCTGACCTCAGCACAGGAGGGACTCCGTGCCTGCTGCTCTCAGAAACTGGGAAGTGGGGAGAACCACTGAGGCCTGACTGCAAAGGTCCCATCTGTTCAGCAGGCAGTCATTCAGAGGTTGCAGAGTGAAGCCACGCCCTGTGGAACCCAACCTAGATGTCACTGTCTTTAAGCCTGTGTGACCTTGGGCAGGTCACTTACCCTCTCTGTGTTTTCATTTCTTCATCTGTAAAGGGGGGATGATAATAGCACCTACCTGGTAGAAGTGTGGTGGGATTACATGAATTAATCTCTGCCAGGCTGTCACAGCAGTGTTGGCTCTAGTGAGCACTCATCAGTGTGAACTGTGCTGTCAGTGTGACTCCTGTACAGTTCTTGTTAGCTTGCTTGCTTCTCTTCAGATAAGCTGTGATTTTCTCCCAGTGTTGTGGATATAACATTTACTTATTTAGTTGAGCACAGCACTGGGTTCAGATATGGTCTCAGTAAACGTGAGCTGTTTAACAATTCGATTGACTTGCATAAATAATAAGAGCCATTAGTTCAGAAGTGGCTGAGCGAGGGGCCACTACAGCTGCAGCGTTTACCTGGCTTGTTTGTAGGGGTGGGTTCTGAGAGTGGTTTCAGTTTTCTTTGCAGTTGGGCTGGGAGCGGGGAGAGAGGAGCCTCCGTCACATCTGGGCCCCTCACCCTCCAGTGGCTCGGCTGCCGCCTGCTGGGTCAGACCCGCTGTCAGCACCCTGCCTCCCACCATGGGGCTTCCCCAGCGATTGCGGGGTGAGGTTTTGAGTGGCTGCTCTTTCAAGAACAGGCTGAAAGGAAGCTTGTGTGCAGGGCTCCAGGGCCGCAACGCTCACCAGGAGTCTGCCTGCTTGTGTTGGTGGAGGAGGGATGGCTTGTCCAGAGACACTGCTTGCCCTCAGACACACTGAACACTCAGCTTTCATAAACTACCAAGCAGTGACCCGCAGACGGACCCACCCCCTCCCTGAGGGAGAGGATAGAGCTCTGAGTTGAGGAAAGGATGTTTGTTATAAATTCCTGTGAGGTTTGTTTGTGTATGTGAGAGGAAGATTGGCCCTGAGCTCACATCTGTGCCAGTCTCCCTCTATTTTATGTGGGATGCCACCACAGCGTGGCTTGATGAGCAGTGCTAGGTCCATGCACGGGATCCAAACCCACAAACCCTGGGCCGCAGAAGCAGACTGCGTGAACTAAACCACTACGCCACTGGGCTGGCCCCCCTATGAATTTTTTAAAGCTCTAGTTTTAGTTGGGTTTTATTTCTAGGATAACATAATTGGTGTTAAATGAAAATGTCATAGTGTGGAAGTGGCTGTTTTAAATGTCTCTGGCATCTGCTATTGCCCTGGGCAGAGAAGACAGCTGAGAATTCCAAGGTGTTTATTCAAAATAGGCTAGAGACCTCATTTTCAAGTCTTTTTCTTTGGCTGCCAAGCAATGTTCTTGTTACTTGGGTGACTCCAGATTCGGGAATAAAATCAAAGTTTAAGTATTAGTGGATTTTGCTATCCAGTACTCTTGTGTAGGCATTAAAAAATATACTTATTTATATTTGGCTTAGTGCATTTTTTAATTGGTGAAGAAGAGGTTTATGTATGCCAGTATACAGTGACTTTTCTCTCCAGTATTCTCATATTTATTAACCCATTAAACTATTTCCATTTATTTTTGTAAACACCAAACTTCTACTCCATCCTGTAATATCCGGAGGACTGGAAGTTTCAGGTGAATTTTATTAGCAATAATATACCTTCAGAGGTTTTGCTTTAAGGCCCAAAGGAACAAAACGTGTGGTACTCGCATCTTGCCCTGGTGGCGACACCCAGTTGTGGTATACAGCTTCCTTGTGGCAAAGGTGGGGGAGTGCTCCCCCATGCTGACAGCTGTGACCAAGTTTCTGTTTGGCCAGTGAGCCACAGACTGAACCATGTTTCAAAGCCACATTTGCCCTTCTGGTGTCCTTGCTGATGTTTACAGGATGTTGAATGGTTTTGCAAGGCTGCTGTTTCTTTTTCTTTTTTTTTAACTGTGGATTTTGTCCCAGTAAGTATATATAGTGTACTTTAGCAAAGTCTGCATGTTATTACATGGCTTTTCTTTTTCCAATCTGTTACATAGGCAGTCATGGCCAACCAAAATTGATGTACCCCAGGACCTTGAGGATGACCTCACGGCCACTCCTTTGTCCCATGCAACTGTCCCTCAGTCTCCTGCTCGGGCTGCTGACAGTGTCCTCAATGGCCACAGGAGCAAAGGCCTGTGTGACTCGGCTAAGAAAGAGGACCTCCCTGAGTTGGCTGGACCAGCACTGTCCACGGTGCCCCCTGCAAGCTTGAAACCCACGGCGAGTGGGCGGAAGTGTCTGTTCCGGGTGGAAGAAGATGAAGAGGAAGATGAGGAGGACAAGAAACCCATGTCCCTGTCAACGCAAGTGGTTTTGCGCCGGAAGCCGTCTGTGACCAACCGCCTGACGTCGAGGAAGAGTGCTCCTGTCCTCAACCAGATCTTTGAGGAAGGGGAATCCGACGACGAGTTCGACATGGATGAGAACCTGCCTCCCAAGCTGAGCAGGTTAAAGATGAACATTGCTTCCCCGGGGACGGTTCACAAACGCTACCACCGGAGGAAAAGTCAGGGCCGCGGCTCCAGCTGCAGCAGCTCGGAGACCAGCGATGATGACTCTGAGAGCCGCCGGCGGCTTGATAAAGATAGCGGGTTCACCTACTCCTGGCACCGCCGGGATAGCAGCGAGGGGCCCCCCGGCAGCGAGGGCGACGGCGGCGGCCAGAGCAAGCCGAGCAATGGCAGCGGCGGCGCGGACAAGGCCAGCCCCAGCGAGAGCAGCGCGGGCGGCGGCAGCCCCGCGGGGGGCTCGGGCGGCAACCCCGGCGGCACATCAGGCAGCACGCGCCGCTGCGCCGGCCCCGGGCCCGGGAGCGCCGTGCAGCTGGCCTCGCGCAGCGCCGGCGAGCTCGTGGAGAGCCTCAAGCTCATGGGCCTCTGCCTCGGCTCCCAGCTGCATGGCGGCGCCAAGTACATTGTGGGCGCGCAGAATGGCCTGTCGTTCTCCAGCGTGAAAGTGCAGGAGAAATCCACATGGAAGATGTGCATCACCTCCACGGGGAACGCGGGGCCGGGCCCTGCGGCCGGCAGCCTCAAGTTCTTCTCCGACCACGTGGCGGACACCACCGCCGAGCTAGAACGGATAAGGAGCAAGAACCTGAAAAATAACGTGCTCCAGCTACCTCTGTGCGAAAAGACCATCTCTGTGAACATCCAGCGGAACCCTAAGGAGGGGCTGCTCTGCGCCTCCAGCCAGGCCAGCTGCTGCCACGTCATCTGACGCCACCTCCCTGCGCTGTCCCTTCTCGGTTTCCTATTTTAAAGCGGGCAATTATTTATTACTTTCTCATTTGTTCACCTGACGATGTGACAATGCATGGTCTTTGTGCATGCTGCTAGACACTACTTTTCTTTTCCAGCCGAAAAGTTGATTGTGTAATTTTTACATTTATAATTTTAACGTGGATGATCAGGATTAAATTAAAATGTATATTTGGAACCTAATATAAATGCAGCACTTAGAAATTTGATGTTCTGCACTTAACCTAGAGAGAGAAAAAATGCTTTCGTTTCCTTGTAAGAAGCTAAATTCCCGCCCTGACCTTCGGTGACGGAATGCCCTCGCTGGGCTGCCGGCCGCCCGGGGCCGAGCCCGGAGCCAGAGTGGCCTGAGCGCCCTGACGCGGAGAGGTCAGCGGACCACACCCGTTTGTCTTAAGCTATAGTGTGAAAAGGAGTTTGGCCTCTTAAAATTTAACTGAAAAAGATTTTCTTGTTTTGTAATAGGTGAGATAAAGTACTTAGATTTATGAGGCAGCTTCCCCTGTAGTGGTAAATTACAAGCAGACAATCCTGTTTTGTAATGTGATGAAGTGAACTGATGATGTCTTAACTCTTCTCATAGAGTGTCTGTCTAACAGAACAAAAAGATGCCGGGTGTGGATTCCTTCCTGTGGGCCACACCCCGGGGTTTCCTTTAAAACCATGTAGATAGAAGAAACTGTAGGGCCTAATACGGAAACAGGTGCACACGGAGGTTGGCAAAGTCAAAATCCCATAAATTAAAAAAAATAGAATTGATTTTTAGGAGTTTGGTAATTACGTTGTCTTTTTTGTTATTTCCATTCTTTTACATTCTTCAACTCAGCTATGAAAATTGGCTGATCAAAAATTACACCTAAAGGGGTAAAATTTACACATACAGCAAACAAAAATGCACAAAGCCTGCTTTGTTGTTGGTTTTTTTTTTTTGCTGGACATGATTTTTCCCTTTGCCTTCCTGCCAAAAAAATAGAGAACTCTTGCTTTAAACTATTCCTGTACAAAGACTACTTTTGACCAGATAATCATCTTTCGTGGCATCTTATCTTGTAGGACATAGTATATTGCAAATTGCTAATTTTGGAAGGGGCTGGATGCTACTTTCTCATGCTGTGCCTGGGGGGGTCTTAAAAGCAATGCTTAGTGACGTTGGTGATAGGATGTGGCTCAGCCCTGGGGCCGTCCCATGCTCAGCAGCCTCCCGTCATGTGATGGTCACCTAGTCTGTAGAGTGGGCAGAGAACCAAAGGATGGCATTCCATTGGTCACGGTTCTCCAAGTACACACTGTCTCTGCCACATTAGGATTCATATATTTTACTCGGAACTCTGAATTTCACAGTATACTTACTAAACTAAGTAAAGATGAAACTTAAAATACTTTCCTTTCTAGATCTAGGCTAGATATGTTTTAAGCTACAGCTCTAGTTTATTGATATTTATAATTGAAAGCTACAAGAATAGATGTGTGGGTGAAGCCATAGAACATATTTGCTTGAAATTCTTGAGCAGGGATCTTATAAAGGGCCAGAAATAAGATGTGTGGTTCACATAGATAGTGAGCGGAACATCTGTATTAAACGTAGGAGAGAAGTTGATAAAGGGCATTGGCAATAAACTCTTTGTTGCAGCTGTTTTCCAAGTAATGTACATACTTTTTCCTGTGATTATGTATAGCCTTAGAATGGCACCTTTTAACTAACCCATATGTGTTTGGTTTCCAATGGTTTTTTATATTCAGATGTATATATGGTGCTCACTTTAGGATCAGCAGTGTTGACCATTTATGCTGCATAGCTGTATTATAGCCTTATTAGTTGTGTGTGGTTGGTTGACCCCCTGGGTAAACAAATGTTAGTCTGAGTGGCGTCTTACGTATTTGTTCCTAAGTGAATGATTGTGCATGTGTTGTATGTCATAGTATGTCATCACATAAAAGGGAGGGAGCGAATAACCATTACTTTAAGATAATATTGGACCAAACTACTTACTTGCTCTAAACAGTTTCTTGTACCCCTTAACCTGTCTTCAGAAGTTGCATAGAGTTACAGTAGTGTGTAAACTAAATATTGTAGAAAAACAATTAGTCTTGTATTTTTATGTGTGTGTGTGTGTGTATATATATATATGTCTGTATATATATATATATAAATATAAAGTTATGTACTTCTGGCAATTCTATCTGTATTTAAAGATGTGACAATCTTAACACCGATTTTCAGAATAGCCGTGAGACTAAATCAAATTAAAGATATCCCTACTGCGTAAGAATTGATGTCTGTTAAGAGGGTACAGAATTATCAGCTGATTTGGTCAGTTGCTTCCACTGCTGGTTGATTTTCCTCATTGTATAAACATTGACAGATATGTGACAAATGGGAAAAAAAAATCCAAATAATAAAGTGGCATATTGGTGTTCAGCAATATAAACTGCGTCTCAGGTTCTGTTTTTTCTCATGAATGCAGCTTTGTATAGTCTCAGCCTGGCCTAGATCCAACTTTCCACATGCTGTGCACCTGCACAGCCAGATGTGACTGAAAAAATACAGTCGTGACAATTCTTGCTTTAAATTCATGACCACAAGTTTCAGGTGGGCCCCAGGACTACCCATTAATTACGCTGTATTTCCCCAATTCCTCTGCCTTCCTCACACGGCTGGTCACCATACTCCCTAATAACGGAATAAACAGAAGCAATTAGAACTGCCACAAGCTCTCACTTCTGCCTTCCTACCTTGGTGTGTATCCACACACCCCGCCCTGCCCTTCCTCCTGGTAGTGTGAGTCCAAGGTCAGTTCCTTCACTTACATCCTGAGACTTTATAGGTGTGAGGACTTTATTCCTCATTCTCTTCTTTTGCATCATCAATCTTTGCTTTCCTACTAGATCATTCCTAACAGCAAACAAAACAAACATGATTTTATTCCCCTGTCTTAAAAAAAATGTTTTTGTTGCCCTCTCTAGCTGTTGCCACATTTCTCTCTATTCCTCTTCTCCACTCTCTCTTGAACCCTTCCAGTCAGGCTCTTGCTCTTATCACCCCACCACAACTGCTTTGCTCAGTGTCAGCGATGACCTCCATGTGCTTAATCCATTGGTCAATTTTTAAAAACAGCTTTGAGGTGTAAGCCACATACCACACAATTCACCAATTTAAAATGTACAATTCAATGGTTTTTAGTATATTCTCAGAGTTGTGCAACCATTACCATAAACCCAAAGAGAAATTTTGTACCCATTTGCACATTCTGTCTTTCCCCTCAACTCAGCCCAGACAACCACTAATCCAGGGGTCAGTTTGAACCCCATGTTAGCATTTGGTGAGTTGATCACTCTTCCTTATAAACTTCCCATAGTTCAGGATCCCACTTCTACCTTGCTGCTCTTTAGTTCACTAGCTCCTCATTCTAGCCTCTAAAACTGGAATACCCTAAGAGACAATTCTGGATCCCTTCTCTGTTTGCACTTAGTCTCTTCATGCTCTCATTCAGTCTAACATCTCTGTGCTGATAGAACCCCAAAATATATTTTGCCCACATCCCTTCTAGTAACACCAGATTCCAACTACCTATTTGACTTATCTACTTGGATGTGTGTAAAAAGCACCTAAATTTTTGCAAGTCCACAACTAATCTTCCCCCTTATATCCTTACCCTCCTAATGCTCCCATCTCATAAACGGCAACTCTAAACCTTCATTAGTTTTGCACAAGTCAAAAATCTTGGTGTGATCCTTCAGTCTTTCATCCCAACATCCAATCCAACAGCAGATACTCAGCATTCAAAAACTGACCCCTTCTCATTGCCTTCACTGCTAACAGTCTGGTCCATGACACCATTATTACTCATCTGGACAACTGTAAATGTCCCTTAGAGGTCTTGCTGCTTTTGCCCTTGTCTTTCTTTTGTCTTTTCATTCAACAGTGTGAGTGATCCTTTTACAAGCTCAATCAAGTCATGTTTTGAAAGACGTTTAATTTTCAAATATTTGGAGATTTTCCATCTAAGTTTCTGTTACTAATTTCTAGTTTAATTCTGTTTTGGTCAGAAATCATGCTTTGTATAACTTAAAGCTTTTTAAACTTATTGAAACTTGCTTTATGGCCCAGCTAATGGCCTATCTTGGTCAATGTTTTTGTGAGTGCTTGAAAAGTGCTATTGTTGGTAAAGTGTTCTATCAATTAGTTCAAGGTGGTTGATAATGTTATTCACATCTTCTATATCCTTACTGATTTTCTGTCATCAATTATTGAGAGGAGGGTTGAAATCCAACTATAATTGTGGGTTTGCTTATTTCTCCTTTTCTATCAATTTGACTTTATGAAGTTTGAAGCTCTATTGTTAGGTACACACACATTTAAGATTGTTAAATCCTTTTGATGAATTGAACCCTTTCATCATTACGAAATGTTCCTCTTTATCCCTGGTAAATTATTCTGTCCTGAAATCTGCTTTGTGTGGTAGTGATATAGCCCCTCTAGCTTTCTTTGACTTATGGGAGTATATCTTTTTGCCTTTAACCTATCTGTGTCTTTATACTTAAAGTAGGTTTTTGTTTGTTTGTTTTTTGTAGACAGCATATAGGTGGATCTTGCTTTTTTTATCCAATCTGCAAATCTTTGCCTTCTATTTGGAGTGTTTAGACCAAATACATTTAGTGTAATTATCAACATGGTTGAGTTTAAATCTGCCATCTTTCTAGTTGTTTTCTATTTGTTTCATCTGTTGTTTCTTTTTCCATCTTTTACTACCTTCTTTTGGTTTAACTCAGCACTTTCTATTGGCTGTGCCCCTTTTATTTTTTAGTGGTTGCTGTAGGGATCTGTATATATATATAGAATCACAGTCTACCTAAAAATATATATAAAATTTATATATATGTTTATAAATTATATAATATTACTTCATATAGAATGTAAGAAACAACTGTATACTTCCATTTTTCTCCTTTCTTTGTGCTCTTATCAGACATTTTATTTTTATATATGCATATTATTTTTATTTTAAATAGCTTTCTTTTTAAGAGATGAAACATGAGGAAAAAAGTCTTTCATTTTACCTACATATTGTCATTTCCAGTACTCTTCATTTCTTTGTGCGGATGCACATTTTGGTATTTCTGCCTGTAGAACTTTAAAATTTTTTATAGTGCAGGTCTGCTGGTAATACAGTCTGTCACCTTTTGCTTGTTTGAAAAAATATTTTTATTTCATCCATGAAGGATATTTTCATTGGGTATAGAATTCTAAGTTGACGGTTTCAATGCTGGACACTGAATTTTACATTGTTTGGTGCTGGATTTTGTATTCACATACCAAGTGTTGGATTTCATTTTGGCATACAGTTACTTGGAATCAATTGGATCTTTTTGGGTCTTGCTTTTAAAGTCTGTTAGGACAGATCCAGAGCGGTCTGCAGGGCTAATGTGGCCCACCACTGAGGCAATGCCCTTCTAAGCACTCTACCAAAGTCTTTCCACTCTGGCTGGTGGGAACATGAACTGTTTCCAGCTGTGTGTAAGTTCCAAGCATTGTTCAACCTATTGCTTTCCAGGGGCTCTTTCTCCTGCCTCAGGTAGTTTTCTTACATACAGGCACTGATCAGAACTCAATCAAAGACTTTGCAGATTTCCAGAGCTCGCTCACTCTCCGTGCAGCTGGATACATGAGACTTTAGGTCTTTTTGCCCTTCTGCCCCCCACAGCTGTCCAGCAGGGACGGGGGTTCCACAGACTTCTGGGATCTGGGGAGGGATAGATGCAAACGGAAAATGGGATTTAGCCCTTCTCAAGCTAATGGGACCCAAACACATTGTGACCGCTAAGGAGTCATTTGTATTTTTGAGGACCCCTGACTCCAGAACTGAGGACTTGGACATCGCATTCCAAGCAACATGTTACAGGTTGGGAAGTCAGGAAGCAAAAAAAACCTGAATCTTGGTCTCTGTGAGTTCATAATGCCCTTGGGGAAGAAACGGGGATTTAAATTAACAACAGAGGATGATCAGAGATGGTGACTTGTCCCAGGGCACTGCTGTGAGGGTCAGGAGAGTTCCAGGAGGGGTGAGTTAGGGGAGGGAGTACGAGTGCAGGGGAGAGAAAATTGAAGAGTTGAGCAGGGTTCGGATCATTGGCCCCTGTGTGAGCCAAGGAGATAGGAATGGACTTTGCTGAGAGAGAAGAATCCGTTTGCTTCTTGACTCCTTTATCCTTTCACAAGGACTCCAAGATTTCTGGATTGGAAGACGAAGCATTGGACGCCGGGGTGCATTGCTGAGCAGGACGCCAGTCTTCAGGTGAAGAAGAGACTGACTCACCATCCCACTGTGCATGGCCTGCAGTCACTTAGGGCCCCGTGCTTAGAAGGGCCTTCCTCAGTTTAACTCTCTGCTCTTGGTTTGTCTTGAAATTCTTAATAACTTTTGAACAAGGGTGCAGCATTTTCATTTTGCACTGAGCCCTGCGGATTATGCCCCAGGCCGAGGGACTTCTTTGTAGATCTGAACTCTACAAGAATGGAGGAGGTGATCTCAACCCCAAGAATGGGAGACTTTGGTGAAAGCAGCAAAAGCCAGAGACAGAAGCCCAGGGGCCACCTCAAGTGTGAGGGCAGAGGAAGCAAGGAGTGGAGGCCGCAGAGTGGGAGACCGGCAGGTGAGCCAGAGAGCTTCTTACTAAGGCTGCGCGGTCTGTGGTCCAGCTCTGAGCTCCGGAGGCTGCTCTGAGGTCGAGGAGATGAGAGATGGAAGCAGGGCCTACAGAGGCCTCTGAGAAGTGTCAGGAGGGAGGTGGAAGCAGTAACAGTGAGGGTGAGGTGTTACTTTGCTAGCACCCCACAGAGAGGGCTGGGCAGGTGGGTGCACAGCCCCGTTTCACTGCAGGGCACTGAGGCTCGGAAAGGTAAAGGGCTGCCCAAGGGCACACTACTGATCTCACCCCAGAGCCCACCCCTCAGCTTGCCCCTTGGATGGAGAGAGGTGAGATGCTGGATGACACTGTCTCCATGTTGCCTTGGACCTTCCAGTACCAGAAGGCTGGGCAGAGCCATGGTAAGGCACTGGACTACAGGCTTCCACTTTAAACCACACTGGAGCCCTTACATATGTGTATGCATCTTGTTACCTGTCTAATACCTGAAAAATTCCAAATTCCATGACACATCTGGTCCTAAGGGATTGTGCCCATGTAGGTGAGACTGGGTGGGGCAGCTCATTATACCTCATGATGAGAGATCATTTGGGTTCAGGGGCTGAAACCTGGTCTCATAACATTTCCCAAAGAGTTCTGGTGTGCTGAAGCTTACCTGGGCTGGATGGCTAGTCCCTGGGATCCACCGTCTGGGAGGAAATTGGGACCGGGGAGAAGCGTCTCTTGGCTCCCAAGATGCCTGCTAGGAATCAGTATCTTTCACATGTTTGTATAGGAGACAGCA